CCCTTAACCCGCCTCTCCCGCCTCCCTGGCCCCCCAGCCGCCTCTTCCAGGGCAGAGCAGACCCGGGTTCCGGAACGGCCTCTCAGAAGGCAGACATGGCAGCGGCATCTTCCCAGCGCAAGAGGGCGAGCCCCAAGCCGGAGCTGACCAAGGAGCAGATCCAGGAGATCCGGCAGGCCTTCGACCTCTTCGACACGGACGCCACCGGGACCATCGACGTCAAGGAGCTGAAGGTGGCGATGAGGGCTCTGGGCTTCGAGCCCAGGAAAGAAGAGATCAAGAAGATGATCAGCGACATCGACAAGGAGGGGACGGGGAAGATGAACTTCAACGACTTCCTGATGGTGATGACGCAGAAAATGTGCGAGAAAGACACCAAGGAGGAGATCCTGAAGGCGTTCAAGCTCTTCGACGACGACGAGACGGGCACCATCTCCTTCAACAACCTGAAGCGCGTGGCCAAGGAGCTGGGCGAGAGCCTCACGGACGAGGAGCTGCAGGAGATGATCGACGAGGCCGACCGCGATGGCGACGGGGAGGTCAGCGAGCAGGAGTTCCTGCGCATCATGAAGAAGACCAGCCTCTACTGAGTCCTCTCCTCTCTCTGCTGCTGCTGCTGGCACCGCTCCCGTGCCCGCTGCTGTGCGAAACCTGGCTTTTGAGAGCCCAGATGTTTTTCCCCACCAACCTCCCTGTACAGCTTTAGTAACAACCTCACACCCGTTTTCAACTCTCGCAACTGTTCTCTGAAACGTTCTGTGAGGTGACCTGCTGTGTCCGTTCATTCTCCGGGAAGGACCAGAGCATCTTGGAGGGCTCACCCGCCCGCCGTTCCGCCTTGTGTCGCTTCACTCTGGCGTGAGCCCCGCCTTTGTGGCGCCACAGAAAGACGTTGCAGGCAGACACACGGCGTAACTTGGTCACCACAGCCAGCGGGCACCTCTACGGCGGTTCTGGTGTGAATCGACACCTGAGTGCAGCTTTCTCTTTTAAAAAGTCCACTGAACTCTCTCACTTGCATTTGGATATGTTTTTCCTATTTGGTTTGTGTTAAAATAAAGCCTAAAAAAAAAGTTCCCCGTGCAAGTGGAGTGTTTACTGCGCCCATTTTACAGAAAGAGAATCAAAGCCCCAAGCCCAGGCCTCTCAGGCACCCTACCAGGACCTGCGCTTTGCGGGTGCAAAGGACCTGGGGGGAGGAGCAAGCCTGGGACAGGTGTGGGGGGCGGCGCCCAGCAAGGGGGTGTAGGCAGAGGGAGGGCTGGGTGGGCACAGCTCCAGGCGGCCAGGGCTGTGAG